ACAGTAAGTATTCTTAACCACTGAGCCATCTCTCCAGCCCCTGATTTTAATTTTTTTTAAAACTTTATACTTTATGGGTTAGAGAGATGGCTCAGTGGCTAAGAGCAGTGGTTGTTCTTGCAGAGAATCCTGGCATGATTCCTACCACCCACACAATGGCTAACAACCATCCACAGCTCCAGTTCCAGGGGAATCCAATGCTCTCTTCTGACTGGTGCACTTACATATATGCAAAGAATACACTCATACACATAAAATAAAAATAATAAATAATTTTTTTAAAAATTAGACTTTGTAAGTCAGAGCTCCACCAGGTCCCAGGCAGGCTGGCAAGGCAAATGTGGCCAGGCCGTGTTTGATCTAGACTTGGGGACAGAGGAAAGCAGCAAGGCTGAGGGCAGGTCGGAGTTTAGTTCTGTGGACGTGTACCCCTTGTCCAGTGGAGGGCTGCTGGCTTGGAGCCAATGAGGAGGTGGAGCTGACAGACAGCCGTATGAACCAGGCCCTGAGTGCACTAGGCAAAGGGGGCTAAGGTGTTCCAGGTGCAAAAAGTGCGTGGCACCAATTTGGGCAGAATATATGCCATGAAAGTCCTGAGGAAGCCAAGACTGTGTGCAATGCCAAGGACACAGCTAACACCTGGCTGAGTGGAACATTCTAGAATCTGTTAAGCATCCCTTCCTTGTAGAACCGGCCCACACTTTCCCAGAAGGTGTCAAATTCTACCTCATCCTGGAGTGCCTCGGTGGTGGTGAACTCTTCACACATCTGGAGCAAGAAGGCGTCTTCTTGGAAGACACAGCCTGCTTCTACCTGGGTGAGATCACATTGGCCCTGGGCCATTTCCATTCCAAAGACATCATCTACAGAGACCTAAGCCAGAGAGCATCAGGCTCAACAGCCAGGGCCATATCAAACTGACAGACTCTGGACTCTGCAAAGAGTCCATCCATGAAGGCGCTGTCACTCACACCTATGGCACTATTGAGTACATGGCCCCTGAAATTGTGATGTGCAGTGGCCACAACTGGGCAATGGACTGGGAAGCCTGGGGCCCTCATGTAGAACATGCTCATTGGATTGCAGGCCTTCACCACAGAAAATGCATAAGGTCATCAAAGGTAAGCTGGTGCTAACCCCCTACCTCACCCCAGATGCCCCGGAACTTGCCAAAGTTTCTGAAGAAGAATCCTATTCAGGGGATTAGGAGTGGCCCAAGAAATGTCAATGAGGTACAGAGGCACCTCTTTTTCTGGCACATCAGTTGGGATGACCTCCTGGCCTGCCAAGTGGACCCTTCCTTCAAGCCAAGCCTGTCAGAAGACTGAGCCAATTGGACACTCACATCACTTTGCAGATGCCAGTGGACAATCCAGATGATACAGGCCTCAGTGAGAGTACCAACCAAGCCTTCCTGAATCAAGGAGGACTTTTTGATGCCTCAACAGCAGTCCCTGCACCCCTACCAGCCCCCTCAAGTTCTCTCCCTCTGTGGGATTCTGTCCCAGCCCTGGCCCACCAGAGCCCATGGAGCCCCCTCTACCTCCACGTCAGCCACCACTGTCTCCACCACTACCCACCCCTCTGCAGGGGAATGAGTGTGTCATTAGGGGTGGCTGAGTCCCTGAATGACGTGCATGGAGGGCTGCAGACTGCAACTACTGGCAGGGGTCCCTGTACCCACCCCACTGGGAGGGGCTCAGCTTTCAGCTTGTACCCTGTAAAATTAAAGGACTGAACTACGGCAGAAAATTTAGACTTTGTAATTAAGCCTAGCCATATAAAAATATGCTGATATATCATGTATCTTTTTAATATCATGTGATTTTCTTAGAACATAACTACGACACAATAAAAACATTAAACTGGGACTAGGGGTATAGATTGGTGTTAGAGCACATGTTTAACGTGTGTGATGCCTTGAGTTTAATCCCTAGTTCATGCACATGCACACGCACAAATACAATTGTACCATAAATAAATGGTAGCAATAATATATAATCCACAGTTTAAATTATTAAACATGCCATGGACTGTCTCTCATAATAATACTAAGACTGAAATGTTTGAAAATGCAAATTTAAGAGTCAACAAAGCACATATACATACGCAGGCTGCTGTCACCTGGGTTCTCATTAACAACTAGGTCACAGGTAATTTCACTGACTCCACTGGAGGTATGATGTACCAGAAGAGAATAGTTTCCAAATTCTCCAAAGTTGTATTCCAGCCTGCAAAGATTGGGTAAAATTAAGACAAATGATTACATTAGGAAATAAGGAGCTAGATTTTGCTAATATTATCAATGTGGAATGATATGTTTTCCTACATAGAGATCAGGGGGACTAAGAGAGGAGATATAAAACCATGTATTTAAAAAATGCAGATTTTGGGGGCTAGACAGATGGCTCGGTGGTTAAGAGCACTGGCTATTCTTCCAGAGGACCTGGGTTTGACACCTCGAGTTCCAGTATCCACATGGTGGCTAACAACCATCCATAACTCCAGTTCCAGGGGATCCAGCACCCTCTT